ATCCATCCATCCATCCATCCAACTATCTTCTATCTATCCATCCATCCATCCATCAAACTATCTGTTGCCCTTTTCATCACCCCAGCTTCAAAGTCAAGGTCACAAATCACAGTTGAAGGTTAAGGATTTTGCTTGTCCGGACCATTGCTATAGATTGCTGTATTGTTAGTTGGAAGGCGTATAATGTGCTGAATGTGTTACTAGATTGATGTGTCAGAGGTACAACAACGTTTGATCTATAAAGGAATCTTTACATTTGGGGTTTGGGGATAGGTTATAAACAATTACTACATATTTTTGTTGAAGCTAGGTCATTGAGTGGCCTTAGTTTGAAAACTAGAGTTTTAGGTGGCATCCACAAGGGAACTTTGACTATGCAATACAAAAAATGATACTGAAATAAAATAAATTGCGTCTACATGGAAATTGTATTTTATAATGTTCAAAATTGGTTCCAGAGCAAAAATCTCTAGAATTGCCACCTGTTTTGTATTGATAGCTAAAACACAGTTCTAAAAACAGTGGCATTGGCAAAACAGTGTTTCCATGTGAACAAGGACTTTTTTGGAGGTTGTAACTATTTTAAACTGACGGCAAACCACTTTCTTCTTGTGCTAGCTGTTCTTTAATCTAGTCAGATTTAAACTATTTACAGAAAAGATAATAAATGTTCATAATGTTACAACCTCTGAACTGTTGCTTTAATGGTAGTGAAACGTATAGGGGTTGTTGAATTATTAAGGGTCTGGGTTCATGTCGTTGCTACAGCCAATAAACCACCGGGTTTCTGGCTCACCCTGAAATTAACATTTTTTTATTTATTTTGAAACACATTTTATTTAAATCTTGACCAAAAACACCTCCTTCCACTAAATCAGTGGCAAGATCCAAATATTGTAGTTGTCTGTACATTGCTGGCTTGATTAGTCACAATGGAGGAAAAGCACAGAATTAACTGACTCTAGTAATTTATTCCTTTAATTTTCTTTTTTGAAAACCTTTATTTAGTGATTCTTATAGAAATCACTGTTTCATATCTCACCTTCCTTTTTGATCCATCCTTGGTTCTTCTTTGAGACATATAAACCTTCGTGTGATAATATAATCACCTTCTCAGAGGATTCCAGTTCATTGTTAAAACCAAACCATTCCCTCATTTATCAACAGCCTACAGGCCCTCTCAAAGCAGTGCAGTGGTACAAAAGTTCAGATTTCATTTGATTATGAACACAGCTGAAATGATGAGCTCTTTGCCTGAGTGATTAGAAGTGACATTCATTTTTAAGTGGAAATTGTGGGGGGTTTTTTTACCTTTTTGAAAAGTACACTGTTTGATGCCTTAGAATAAACAACCAGAAAGTATTGAGAGGACAGAGATGAACTGTGAGGCATCAACTGAGGTGTGCAAAACGAGACTGTCGCTACAGCTAATGAGCCAGATCTGATGTCGTTAACCTGCTTTTCTTTTTAAACTAGTGCACAATGAAGTGTGTTTAAACGGGGGAAAAAAGTATATACCTGTATGTGTATATGTGTGTGTGTATATATATATATATATATATATATATTTCATCCATCTATCTATCCATTATCTTCTGCTTGTTCCGAAGTCGTGTCGCGGGGACAGCAGCTTGAGCAGGGAGGTCCAGACATCTCTTTTCTCAGCCACTTCTTCTGGGAGTACTCCAAGGTGTTCCCAGGCCAACCGAAATAAGCAGTCTCTCCTGCGTCGCCACCATGTTCTTTTACATAACCTTTAGGTTATATAGGTTGGGGCGATTATAGCAACAATTTCCAGGGTGAAAGAGGCCTTATGGAAAACAGTGCTTCAAAACATGCATTGAAAAAAATGTTATCTCCTCACCCAGAGTCATCTGATGGGAAAGTAAAGCAGCACAAACATCAGTAAAACTGGTCTTGGCCTGTTCCCTTTTAGCATTTAGCTTATTCATCTAGTCTGAGTTAAACTTTATTTTTGCAAATTGAAGGTGCTCAAAGACCTATCAATACAATTCTCTCACATTTTAAATAATGAGAAGCAAATAATTATCAAGGCTCATCTTTTACCTTTATATAGAGGCAATCTAAAATAAATATGCGCTATTGAACCTTTTCTATCTTTCCACGAAACATCCTTAAAGAGAGCTCATCACTTTGTTTTTTTGAACATCTTCA